CAAAAGCAACCGCTTTTTTCTTCGAAGGACAAGTGAAAAAATATATGGATGAAATCGAAACGGCTCGCCAAGGCATGAGCCATCTCAAAGTTCTCGATGAGCAGCTTCAACAAGCAAAAATTGAACAGGGTGACCTTGAGAAGCAGCTTACACAGGATTGCATAAGAACAAAAGAACAGCTAAAGGCCATGCAAGAAGCGCATAACAAAACGAAAGAAGAAATGAAGTCAAAAATAAACGAAGCTTATGCAGAGCTGGAGAAAGCATCATTGGAAACGATGCGACTGCAGGAAGAACTACAGCAGCAATTAGAAGCAGAAATTTTGCAAGGTGCTGATTTTCAGACGCTGGAAAAGGAGTACCGCCTATTAGAACAGAAACAAATGGACAGTGTAAAAGCGGCCCATGATGATGTCAGCCACTTGTGCAGAAGGATTGAACAGTCAGAAGCATCAATCACGTCGCATGAAGAAAGTATGATTATGGTGAAAGATGAAATGGATCGTATCGTAAGACGTTTACGGGCTATCGATCAATTAGACACAGCAACAGCGACAATGGATACAACCAATGCTTTTGCTCCAGCAGACAGCAACGATACAATGACAGGCACTGATTAACGCAATTTCTTTTTTCGTAATAGATAAATCTTTGTTTCATTTGCTTACGTAAACAATATATCTCTCTCTCAAATAATAAAGCATTTTTACCTGCATAACGACACTGTCATTCATAGTTTTTTATCAGCCTACAATGGTAGGCTCCCAAAAGGGGATTCTTCCGAATTTACCTTCATATAGGGTACTCACGTTCGATTTGGTTGCTCCTGAGAAGTGGCATTCTCTTTGTTCATCGTTTGAAAGTCAGCTTCAAGCGCCTTTTCCTCTTCCTCATGTATCTCTGGTTTTATGTCTTTTCAACACTGACTTTTTTGAAATGAAGCTTCCAGTGTCTTTCCGACGCTCTCCATTACAATTTAACTGACAAAATATGGTCAAAGGTAATCAAAAATTGCAGCTATTTCAAAAATGATTTAAACCGCTCTTTTACTGTTTGGTGAAATATTGATATAACTTTGAATTAGTATTGATATTGGGTGCTGGGTATGGCACTCGTTTACAACGTGACCTTCAATTGTCCGCCGAATACAGGCATTTATTAGGGGTGCCTAAAGCATTACTACCTCTAGGTGGTCGCGATGCCCTCATTACACATTGGCTTGAGCTTTTTGAAGCTCACGGATTAAAAGCAGCAAAAGATATTTTTGTAATAACCAATGAAGCCTGTTATGACTCAATCAAGCAATGGGCAACGCGACATTCCGTTCCTTTAGATCATATCGTCAGTGACGGCACAACATCAAACGAGAATAGATTAGGTGCTGTACCTGATATCATGTTTGCTGTCAAACATTTTCATTTACTGCAAAATGATGTGCTGGTTGTGGGAGGCGATACTTTGTTTTTGCATGACTTCAGCCTTTCTGACTTTTTGGACACCTTCGAGGAAAAAAATAAAACCAGCAACGGCCGACCACTCTGTTTAGTCACCACCTATGAAGTCAGTGATGCCGATGTACATAAATTTGGTATTGTTGGGACGGATGAAAAGGGTGCCATCAGCAGTTTCCTTGAAAAGCCAGATCCATCTTCTACTACAAACCGCTCTGCATGTCCCTGTTTTTACTTATTCCATAGACAAGCTTTACCTATCATAGACGAGTTCATCCAACAATGTCAGAAAAGCAATGCACCTAAGGAGGCTTACGATGCCACTGGAAAGTGTTTAGCTTATTTATTTCCTCGTTTCCCTATACAAACAATGCCGATCTCTGGTCGTATCGATGTGGGTGGTTTACAATCTTATATAGATGCAAATAGATATTTTGAATTGTTGTAACCATCAGTACATTGAATAAATAAATTAACAATTGACATTTAAATTGCCGTATTGATTAGAGTATGCAACAAAAGGTATTACAGTGTTTTAACGTCGTTGCAATATTTATTGGGCAATCTGCATTTTTAATTTTATCTACAATTTTATCGGAATAGTTTGCGTATCACTTTAGACGGATTGAATCACCAGTTCATAAGACCAGGCTTTTTCTGTAAGTATTTTTAGTAGAGTGTTTCTGCTACCTAGTCCGACCCAGGCAATCATGAAGCATAATTCTCTCATACGCTTTTTTGAATTTGAAGCGATAATCCATCTCCCATCTGCAGCGAACTGCGTTAAATATTACTTTTGATCCTTGATCAGTGTTGTGTTCAACATCAGGTTACGCGTAGATTATTACATAATGCTAAATAAGAGACTACAGATACTTATAATGATTGGTATAATCTTGAGTATTAGCTTTGTCAGAACAATTCTTATCGATTCCGAAAGAAGATCTCATCTGTATATACATCCGAGACAACATCATATGAGTAATTGGCTTGATTTAGAAATAAGATAATATAGTATTTGAGTCTGTACAAATTAGATAACTTTATTTTGCAGATCAAACAATATACATATATCTATCTATTTAAGCTATTAGCTAACTCGTTGATCCACTACTTTAACTTTTTGCAGTCTGGCAAGATTCATAAGGCTGAAACGTAGACATCGGCAGAATTAAGGATTAGTTTATCCTGTCCGTCACACCAGTTATAATGAAACTGCTGAAGTACGGGTTAAAGGAACTTTCAGTCAGATCAACTCTTTTAACTGCTGTTACCGATCCAAACGGTCAAGGCACCACTCTGTCGATTAGCCGTACAATAGCAATTGGTTATGTCTTTTCTTCTATCATTAGGTCATCTTCTGTTCAAGGGTCCCGATAGAAAAAAGTCTTTTACAATATCCACAAATATAAATAGAAGTACTTTTTTTCTACATAGTTCTTGTCTTCATTCTTTATCTGAATATTCTATTAATAAAAGAAGATAACTAGGTCTTCACAGATTTCCTTTTTGTTTTCTTTCTATTGTGATCTAATTCTACCCTATACAACAATCAGCATTCTTAATAAGTTTCAAAAATGATGAGTAAGAAGGCCTGAATAAAAGCCCAATCTACTTTCGGACTACCTCCTTATTGGTGCCCCCCACAACAAATTTACAATAATAAATTCTATAAAAAGTTTCTTCTACATCGTGTTTATCAATTTAGGTTTCTTCATTCTCGAGTGATGATTCAGTCTTCAGTCTATAACGCATGTGAACCATGTAAGACGTTTTAATTGAACAGTTATGAGTTCGAATGGTGCTTGATGCCTTACGTAGCAAAGATATATGCATAGCATCGAATCAAATTTTTAATGCTTGCGTAATCTAAACGAGACATTAAACGCGTAAATCACCTTGTTATGATAAATGTTGTCAAACGAAAGCTTATGTTGTTAAATTTACTAGACATATTTATCTTCCAACTTCATCAACTTTCTGTATTATCATAACTAAAATCATTTCAATGAAAGAAAGTACACCAAGCAGGAAAATCCGTTCGGTAAAGGCAAATTACAATACAATGTACTGTTTGAAACATTAGTAACCTTGTTGCGCACTTATTCAGACCATACCAAATGTAAAGACTGCAATGAAATGGGTCACTTCAATAAAAGCTATACGAAATGTAAATATCATAAAGCTGTATCCGCTGACGATGGTAAGTTGAGCATCAACCTTCTTTTAGTCACACAAGCCGAGTAACAGACCGTCTCATTCTCATAGTTGGGAGTCACAATAAGAAAAGAAACAGAGCGAGAGTATTAAAGCAGAGAAAAAGGCAGTGAAGAAGAAGAAAACGGCATCACAAGCTGTAGAGTGTCCCTGTTGTGGGAATGATAACCATGCTTCCTTTCGTTCGCTTCTTTGTCCTAATCACATACAATCAAAGGAGGAGGCCATTTAATCTGTCCTTGGTCATAATTCTACTATTTTTGTAAGGAAGCTTCCTGTCGGCCGTGCCGTTTTGCCACAGTTTCGTGAAAAGTTCAAGGAAAAGGTCATTTCGTGCTGCAAGAACATTAGAGCTATAGTGTTCCGCTGCCAACTATTTGTCAATGCCTATCTTGTTCATAATAAGAAAGACATTCCTTCAGAAGTCTTCACACAGCAATTTTGGTATCCCATTGCGCAACTCGTTACGGGTAAAAAGGTTACTCACAAGAAGGCGTTGACGACAGCATCAAGACTTATTTTGATGACTTTAAGCAGAAGCATCCGACAATAGTAATCAGTCATGACTTCACCAAAGGTTATAGTCATTGTCTCACAGAAGCTGCCAAGGAAATCAGCGTTTCATATGTTAACTCCATTGTTGAGCTTTTTGAGAAGCGAATGCTTAAATATCTAACCTATAAGCTACAAAAGATGTTTGTTGTAGGTCTCCTTTCCAGTACTCTAATTTCAATTTCTACCTTTCTAATTGCGTGTATTTGTGTTATTATCCATAGAACATGAAAAAGGTCGATGCAGCAAAAATATCAGAAGCATACTGCTACCAAGTAATTTGCAAAGGCGATCCCAAGTGCCCCGATAAAATCATGCTTAATAATGAAGACAAAAGCAAGATAGAGCTGCTGTGCAAAAGCTTTGAAAAACTTGTGACGGAGAAGGTTACACTGCTTTCCTTATCGTCCGATCCCACGAAGTTTATCAAAGCCTTTTGGCACATCCAATCCTCGTATGAAAAGGAACATGACGAACATGCGGCTTATGATGTCCGTAGATTACCATTATCCAAGCGCTTCTTCCCTTTCCCTTTACCTTCGCTCCATTGGCGTTTCATTACGATAGGTATCAATTCGCTTGTCCCATTCTTGTTTCCTGGTACGCCTCCTAAAGGCTATATGAATCAACTCGAGAAGTTTCACCAAGTGCTCAGCTTCAAAACGATGGGATTTAAAAGGTAAACGGAAACAGTTTTGGCTGAAGTACTGTTACTGGTATTTACTGGCATTCGTCTTTTATGACAATAGTTTGAATGACCTTAAGGCAAGCCAGGAAACATTATTCCATAATATTGTCCGTTCAGATGGCTTCACTGTCGATTTTCTTTTCAGTAAGAAAGGGAAAGCAAACGAAGAGAAGACCATCGAAAACCATCGGTTGACTTTGGAGGACTTCGATTTAGCCGAAATCGAAGCTGGTTATAGGCACTGCTTCATTGATCCCGTGAGAAAAGACGTCTTCACAGCAGCGATCGGGCTGGACGATGAAAAGCACCAAGTGCGAAGCTGTTCTACCTAAGAGCACTATCACATGATCGGTAGCACCAGGTACTCTGCAAGGCTACAGAAGAAGAAGGCAGGTAAAATCAAGGGCATCGAAAGTGATATGCCAACTGCCAAGACAGGCTCCAAAGCCCAATATCGCTGTTATGCAGCATACATCCTACAGCACTTGGAAGACCTGTTTTCTTTCTCGTTGATAGCACTGCCGAAGATCGATTCCACTTGTACCAAGGACGGAAACGTGCTGCCGACAAAATGGTAAACATGCTTATCAATGGCGGTACAAAGTATAATCTGGATCTCAGATTGAAGAAGAGACAAGAACAAAACAAGGTCGCAAAGAAGAAGAACAATAAAAAAGACGGAAAAAAAAGGAGAAAGGAGTAGCAGAGAAAAAGATTATAAAAGAAGAGACATCAGAAATTAGGGTGGGATTGAAGACGACAGACAGATAAACGCATAAACGATAATCATCAACTACTTATAGAAAGTAACATAGTGCATCAAACGCTAAATGGAAGCCCGAACCCTTCAATGCGGGTGATAAAATAAAAGTTCCTCTCATCGTGTTCGGTAATGGCATGTTTGGTAAAGACAACGTCGTACTGAAGAGTCACCGATGCGGAACGGTAGGTGTTTTGTGGCGTGCGCTTAAGCAACGCGAAGTAGCTGGAGACCTGCTAGTACTAGAAATCGATGAATTCAAGACATCCAGAATACGCTCGTGCTGTTCCAACGATACTTTGGAGAGGTTGAAAGGCATTCAGACCTACAGTATACTTGTTTGCAAGACTTGTCATATACTGTGGAACCGAGATATCAACGCCTCAAAGAACATGATGAAGATCAGTAGTGCTATTTGGAAGAAATTGCGCGAAGACCGAAAGAGTTTATGCGACCAAAAATATAAGACTCCCCCTATCCTCAACATCGCTGGAACGAACCCAATTTGATTTTTACAGGTAAAAAGAACGAAAGCTTGTACTTTCTACTATTGTGCAAACTGTCTCACATTCACTCTTAACCGTCTACTATTATATTGAATTCGTTTAAAAATAATCTATTTATCGTCTAAAAATTATGTTTGTGTTGTCCAAATCTAAAGTTAATAAACTGACTGTATAGAGAAACAGCATTTTAAACATTAGGCGCAGTATCAATTCCAAGTTCGACTTTTAATCAGTTGTTTAATCTTTTTCATCACTTTGACTAGCAACCGTAAATTGATCATAAGTTTCACTGCCCCAAACTTGATATAATCTCTCGCTAATCTGTGGGCCCCAACGACGTCTACTAATGTTATTCAGTGTTGCATCTTTGGCCAGTGTCTTTCCTTCTTCGGGTGTCTTGTTTTGAAAGGCTCTCAAAAGGGAATTCGGAGTGGGGTATACTTTCATGAGTGATAAAGCCTTTTCTGCATTGACACCTCTAATTGTCATCAACATACGTAAGTAGATCTCATGCAAACTCGTTGAACCATTCTTTGAGTTGAGCTGACCAAATGTGGAGAAATTGACTAGATAAGTCGTCTTTCCTTGCTCAGTGAATGTATTTCTATATATTCCTTTAAGTTGCAGAAAGTTTTGTCGTGTAATAATATGCTCTGGAATACAATAAAGTGTGACCCGATCGTATAACCGTTCTATCATCCGAGTGATGGATGCTAAGAAATCAATGGTTTCATCTATACTATTGGTTCTTTTCAGGTAGAAGCCATCGATCATTTGTGTAGAAGACATGGCAGTCTGGACTGCCTGCATTCCAAACCGCTCTGCTTCTTGAACATTATACTCTTCGACAATGTAAATGACCTTTTCCACACCAGATCTCTTCAATCGTGTCTTTTGTTCTGTAAAACGTCCATCTTTGATACTGCTCACTAAATCATCCAGCCGCTTGCGTTCTACAATATAATCCAACACTAATTCCTCTGCTTGTTGAAGTTGAGTTTGGCTGCTGCTACTATTATTGCTCTTTTCTTTCCTGCGTGCAATCCACACAACATCACCCAAATCCATAGCGCGTGTGATGCATTGAATACCCTTTCTCGTCAAATTTTCCTGAAAATACTCTCGATTACCCTTCATTTGAATTTCGCGATTATCAACCACCAATACAATTTCATATTCACCAGATTTCAAACAGAAGACGGGTTGTCCTTTTTCTTCTATCAATGATTGCAAATCCGTCCCGTTGTGTGGGTCCTGTGAGTTTGAAGGTTGCGAAGAAGATGAGAGAATCGCTTGAGAGCTAAATGCTCTCTCAAGGTACTGACTAGAATGGTATGTTTGACTGTTGGTCTGACTGTTGGATGGATGTTGTTGTGCGTTAGAAAACAAACTTGCAGGACAAGCATCTTTTTCCTCTTCTACCTCCCGATGTAAAGATAAAACAGGCGTAGCTGGTAACCCAGGACATATACTATCAATATGCTCCTCAGGTAAATAGGCCATAGTAAACTCTCCTTTTGTTGTTTGGTTAATCAGTAATTTCGCTTTGGGATGATTGGCTTGATGTGTATAAAATTGTACGAGATAGGCAAGACTTGCTTTTTCCGTATCTATCTCGACTGCAGCTTGTGCGACATGCTTCACTGGTTTCTGGTTTGTGTCAAGGTATGTATATTGAAAAGTTTCGTTTTTGATTTGTTCATTACGTGATTGAGTAAGCGGAAAATAATCCTCTTGGCTGTTGAAAACAAAACTAAAATTCTCATCACCGGCCGCAAGATCTGAAAGAGGAGATGTTTCAGGCGATGATAAAAGGTCCACTATCTCTTCCTTCTGGACATGATTGGCACGAGTATTATTTTCAGTATCAGATGTGGACAAGGGTGATAACGTGATACTCGTTTTCTTGTTCATTGAAGGACTAGACCGTTTTTGTTCATTCGCTCGTAAAATAGAGGATACTGCAGGAGTTGTATATCTATCGTTCCTACTCGTAAAAGACGCCGATGGAGAAGCTCTATCAGTGTTTAGAACTGCTTTCGAAGTCATAGCTGCTGTTGCTGCTGTTCCGTACGTCGAAGAAGTTAAAGATGACGCAGAGCTGGTTTTATTACTAACTGAGGCAGATGTGTGTCTTTCTGGATTAAGAATATATAAACCCATATCTACTTTATTCGGATCCTCTTTGTCTATTTCTGCTAGTATTTTATCAAGAGCTGCACTTGTTGCTGATATCTTTTGCCTCTTGCTCTTTTCATTACCATCATCGCCTCTTGTCCCTCTTTTGGATGGCTCTTTGGGTTGTACTGCTAATGCTGCCATGATATCTGCCCTCGATGATGTAGTTGTTCTGGATGACTGCGGCACAGTGGATGGCATTAAGGAGTCACCATCTATGGTGTCTGAATTAGCTCGAGAAGCTCTGGATCTTGCCGTGGAAGAATTCTGGCTGCTGCTGACATTGCTATCTTGCAAAGTATATTTCGATGGATCCATAACATATATACTCATATCCACATTATCGCTACTGTATTCCTCTTCATCCGAACTGATGGCTGCTGCAAATGCTGCCCCTGAGGTAGTGGGTAAATTTGCCAGCTGATCTGCTGAAGACGAATTCAAAGTTGTCGTTGATTTGAACGGTAAAGCCGCTGCTGACGAGGTATTTTGATCACTGCCGTTGTTTCTCATGTTGATTTCTTTTAACTTATCAGCCAAACTGACGCCCGTCTCTGTCAATCGGAATTTAGCAGGTCTCCCACTTTTATAGACATAACCTTTCTCGTGTAAGGTTTTGATACCATTCCACGCTGAGTATGATTTTCCAGGCTCTGCCAGGGTAAGTGAAGCGTCGCAATGATCTTGAGCAAGCTGGCATATCTGTTCGCGGGTCGCCTCGTCTTGGCCCACGTCTAAAAAATCTCTTAGAGCCAATAAAATAGCATAAGCACCTGTTCTATATCTTGGTATATAAGGTTTTGTGGCCCTCGCTCTGCTGCTGGATGAAGAACTGCCCGGTGAATCTGTATCCTCTGTATGTTTCCGTTTATTGCCCTTCCCTTAAGGCATAGAGAAAGAGTGTAACGGAAAGACTGTCAATAGAAAGTCGAATCATTACTTCAGGGCCCCTTTGGTGAGGTGATAATGCTGTTACCTGTTGGATTATTGGGACGTTGCGGCATAGGAAGATTGTTGTCTTTACAATATTTTCGCATACGTTCTTCCAAACTCTTTACTAAACCTTCGCCGATACCGTCCAACTGAATAGCCTGTGATGGGTGATCAAACGTAACTGGGCATTTACAGAGTGAATCGTACGCCTAACGCGAAGAATGACAATCAATGACTATTTTCACTGGAGGGCATCATAAGGAAAGTACCTTCTTTAGTGTATAATATTTCCTGCTTTGCAAGCCTTCAGCTTTATCCATCATCTCTTTCATCCAGTCCCTCAAGAGAGGGTTGCCACAGTGGTTAGACATTAGCGAACGAACAAATAGATCATTGAATATATGAGGAGACTTGCAATCTACTTTTTTTAGCAACATTGCAACTTTTTTTTTGTCTGCGCAAATTCGGGAATTTTTTGTCCATCTCCTTATTTTTTTTTTTTCACCATTATTTCTCGAAAAAGCTACTGTTAATGATAGATAAAAAGGCTCCTACAGTCTTGTCAACTTTACTGTTTCATGTATTTCCACACTATGTGTGTTAGTTAAGACGTCTTCCACCCCTTACTGCAAATTGATTATAACAAAAGAGTTGCTTTTTATTAGGATGTGGTATGTCATTATGCAAAAAGAGTAAAATATCTCCTGAACCGATGTATGTAAGCAAAAGAGTTGTATATGAGTTCTCCTACATTTATACTTTATATATACACATGTATTAATAACATAAGAGAAAAGATAAAAAGAAGCGACGCTTGCGCTTTTTATTAGCTGAAGCAGCTGGACTCTCTTGCGCGGGAAAAGGTGAAGAGGTGGTCATGGCAATGGTTGGGGAAGCATTATTGTGATTTGTAATTACTCTTTGTAAGGGCGACGTAGTATCTGAACTCTTCTCACCTATGTCAACGGCCGTATGCGCCGTGACAGTATCTTTTGCTGCTGCAGGGTGAGGTGAAATAGCTGTAGAAGGGTGATGGTTACTTTTTTTCCTACTCAGGGATATAGACTTTCGAATATTAAAATGGGTCGTCTCCGCTGCCGTAGTCATTGTGGAAGATGGTAAATCGTTGACAGGCGAATACTGCAAGGGCTTGGGTGGGTACTGTTTAGAAACAATCTTGCCAATTTCGTCAGCGCTGTGATATTGAAGTGCCCGCTCTTCTACGAGTGCTGTTGATTCTAAGGTTGGGTCATGATTGTCCATGAATGCAGTTACAGGAGCATTGGAAGATGGAGGAAAAGCCTCCTTCTTTGCAGCATCATTATCATTCTTTTCTAATGCAACGCCAGAGTCTTGTTGAAGCCGTTGTTGTTGCTGATGGACAGCCTTGGAAATTTCTTCTACTTTTTCCGCTCCCTTTCCCCCATCCTCCTCCTCCTCCTCCTCCTCCTTCTTCTTCTCCTTTTCCTTCTCAACCTTCTCGTCAGCTTCCACTTCTCGGACGGAAACGCTCTCTTCGGCGGAAGCACCGGTATGGGTTGTTGTTGCGGTAAGTTGAGACGATGTGCGAATGGATGAAGTCTGTAAACTGTCACGTAACATATTGTTATTTATGGCCATATCGTTTTGGTGCAGTCTCAATGATTCTTCTTTGCCATCTATGCTATTACTGTTTGTAAATAGATCATGTCTCGTTTTATCAAGCTCACGGAAAAGATCAGTGGAGAAGGAATCTGTAGACCAATCAAACGTTGGAGGCGACCATAGCTTGAAGGTACTGTCGGCGTCGTTCTTATCGATGAGCATGCTCAATATTTCGTGAATGAATGAAAAAAGAAAATAGATACAAGGAAAAAAGCAAAACAAGGAAAATGACTGTTGAGCGTAAGATATCTCTAGAGGATTTAAGGGGAATAGATAAAGGATATAAAGATAAAAAAGGGCGTTCTTCATGCATCATTTGATGTGGTAGGTTCCTTTATGTAACAAACGTGCAGGTAATTTTTTTTTCTAATCAGATAGAAATAGTATTTGAGAATGTCAAACAATAGATCTGGGAAATATTGCAAACTCATTTACAATATTAGAAAAGTGCTCTTAATACAATAAAGTATCAACCTTCATCAGAGTACAAGATGTGCAATAGGGCGCTTGAAATCTTTTGCATGTAAATATGCGTTAGAAGGTTTTTTAAGGAACATACATTATTCAAAGCCAAGAACATGAGTACTTTGTAGGGTAAAGAATACATTGCTAAACTTTATTACAGTTGAATTACATGCTCTTCCATTTTAGTAAGAAACTATTTGGAGCCTTTGTGCATCTTGAGTCGCTCACTATGTGCCATGTATCGTGCGTTTTCTCGTAACAGAAACTTGAAGCATTCAACTCAATTACATCTGGTAAACATTCTATAGGAAAAAAGTGGTACTCTTCAGCTTTTTTTTTTCCGAAAACGGCGTCCTAACAATATTAAAGAAATAGAGGCCGCTGACACCGAATAAAAAAAAGTTCTTTTTATCATCTGCTTACAATTCATAAAATTAGCGTGAATACAATGAAAACTAGCCGCTTCAACTATTGCAAACCAACATCTCTGCGCAAGCATAACATTCGTTATTCAAGGGCTCCTCCGTTATAGTGTCTTGAATAAAGATGACAGTCATTCTACGGTAAACGCTTCATAAAGTTGCCCAAACAATTATATGTCATTTTCATATTATTTTCATTAAAAAACAAGCTATTCCTTCAGGAGAACAAAAAAACATAAAAGAGAATAATAACAAAGGAAAAAGATGATACAAACCATTATCACTCGGTAGCACCTTTTGGGAATTCCTAGAATTCAGAGGCAAATACTTATCATAGGACGTGTGTCGCAAATAGCAACAGAGCCATCATTATTCGGAAGATGATTTAAAACGATTGGTTTTTGAGGGCAACTCATTTTGCCATTGTTTGATTTAGTCCTCTTATGTACTTTTCTGCTGTATGCAACAACCTATCTATTTTTTTGTAACGACCAAGGTAACTGTAGAATTGGCATTTAGAATATTAGATTACGAAGGACAGTGAGATATTCTTTCGAGTAGCCATCAAGATTGATTATAGAGTTACAACATCGATAACAACGGAGAAGACCTTGTTATTTTGACATAAAACTATTTGTAAAAGCATCTTGATTTTTACAAGAATTTTATTGCTTAAAAGGATATCAGGGTGGGAAGGTATATCTAGAATAAGGCAGTTTTGAATTGAATACATTACTATTACACTTGATTTTCTTGGGATGAGCGGAAAAGTATAGTTTTTTTCTATACATGCAAACTTTACACTATAGAAAATGAGACGATAAGGATGGATTACTGTAGATGGTGGTCTGAAATGAGGCATTTGACAGCAAAACGTCATCATACTGAGGTTGATGATCTAATACAGAGAATGGACTTTGAGAGCGTGAATAGCCTGCGGTACTCGTAGTGCTGGCATCGGAAAAATTAGAACCCACGGTAAAGAATGGATGGTACGTACTATCCAACAGAGGAGAGGAATCCATGTGAGTCGTCTCAAAATAGGCAGCAGCAGAATAGGCAGCAGCATTGGAAAAAGTAGAGTCAATGGTAGGGAGGAAGTGATTTGTAGTAGTCCTATCAGAAGCCTCCTCGCATAATAAGGAAGAATGTATAGCAAAATACGGACTGTAGTACTGTAGCTCCTGATGGACATGACATTCAAAACGAGGCATCCGATCCGTATTCAGATGATGAAAAGCAGTAGCAAGAGCTGCGGAATGTTTAAGGGCCTCTGTTTGTCTCGTTTTTTCGCGCAGTTGATCTTTATCAAATGTGTTTGCGCATCCCATGGTGAACGGATGTTGCTGATGTTGAAGATCATTATGCTCGTTCTTTGTTTCAGTTCGCTCTAATCCATTGCAGTAGACATTCCCTTGTTTACAGTAAAAGCCTCGAGCTATTGATGCATGGTCAGGAGTGACCTTGTCCTTTCTGGGAGCTTTCTTTGTTTTTCTTCTCTTGGGTCTAAATTTATAATTAGGGTATCTAATCACGAATCCAAAAAGCGCGGGCAAAGATGAAGCAGGAGAGAAAAGGGTGAGCGTTCCAAGGTTGGGTCAACCCAAACGTTTCTTTCTTTTTACCTTTGTTTGTGCTCCAAGGTCAACTTTTTTGCTTCATCGGCATAGACTTGCTTATCTTTGGGCTTCAAGGCGTGCCACCATTGAGAAATAATTTTGGACATGTCTCGTTGGTTGGCACCTTGATATTTTTCTTGGATTTGCTTTTGCATCTTTTGGCGAAAGACGAGGAAACTGTTGGGTGGGCGAGGAATGCGATGTTCTTTCTTTTGATCTCTGTGCTTTAAAGTGAATGATGATGCAGAAATCGAAAACATATTTATCAATCCTTGTCAGAAAGAAGAGGAATGTAAACCATCGGTGAGAAAGAGAGAATTATATACCCTTTTGCCTGAAGCAAGTTTGCTTATTTTATTGTCGCTTATTACATTCTATTATCATGGATCCATTTAAGCCCCCATCTGCCGCTCACAGACCTACACAACAAAAGTTGAATAAAGTACGAAAATAGTTGTTATGCAGATCCAGGGACAAAGAAACTATTTTATGCACGGACGATATCGATTCTAATTTTATATTTCATTTTTGTGCATAAATTATGTTTAAAGGAGTAGAAGGAACAAGCATCCGCGAATTAGAAATTGTTCAGGCCAATACACACTCATACACGCCTCAAGCACGAAACTCTCATGGAGTAACCAGTTACAGTATGTTCAGTTCTTATAGCACGCGGAAGGACCCAGCTCTTGAGCGTTTCCTATGAATGTCAAAAGACACACGCCAATTGCCTGTGTCTGTCATTCCCCATTCTGTTTCCCTCCCCTTTTCTGGGACTGCTTTGTTCGATGGAATGGGAAATTCCTGTTCTAATTGACATGGGTTGACTGTAACAGAGGGATTCTCACTCGATGTACTTTTATTAACACTCCCTTTTCAAGTTCTTTGGTCTAAACTTTTCGCATACTGTGCTAAAGATAAGAAAAATATCCCGAAAAGCAGCGGCTGCGCGACATGATGAGGAGAATTGTTTTTTGTAAAAAAAAAAATGCGACCTTCTCTTTGACTTTGATGGGGCCTGCAGCATCCATTTGAATGGGCGGCGAAAATGCTTGCTGGATTGGCTGTACCATCTCTTGCATCATCACTACTGTTTTCCAGAACCCCACCCCTACCCCTTTAGTGTTGCCATGGTGATATCAAGAATGCACTGTCTCGTGTACAGGTCAACTTTGTTGTTGCATTTAAAAAAAAACAAACCAAGCGGTGTTACCCAAAACGGCCCATGTGGCAGAAATAGATAACCCTTTCTTTTTTTTGTTGTATCCATCTATTTATGACTCTAGCACAAATAATAGAATATGTTTGAACAACTCCATAGCAACCAAAATAAAAGAAAAGAAAATAATAATAAAAAAAAAAGCAGCCTAACTGCCGCGCTACAGGACAATGAAATGGAAGGATAAACTCTATTTTGTAAAAAATAACACAAGTTTGAATTCTACACGAAAAAAATAGTATGAGACAGCATCCCTTTTTTGTATTGTATATATGAGGAAAAATGAAAACGCGAAAAGATAAACAAAAAAAAACGAGACCATGTTCCTATTGCCTTTGTTGGTAATTTCCTCTGTCAGAGAGCGATTCATAGCCATTCGCTTGTGTTGTTATGATGACTTTTAGGTTCTCTTTCCAACTGAGAAATTTCGTACCCCCTGAATTTACCTTTTATAGACGACTGTTTGAGTCGTTCACAAGGACCGCCTTTTTCCCTCTTAATCGGCAATTGTCTATTTAAGGAAGTTTTTTGTCCCCGCACAAAAACAAAAAATACCAACTTGTCCCCCCTTTTTCTTTTCTGGTTTACAAAGTCCGATCGTGTGAGTAACCATGGAGATCGAGCGCTTCATTCATCGCCGATCTATTAGCTTAGCATTCAGCCATAGGATTGAAGGGGCAACAGTCAAAAAGACACAGTCTGTTCTCTACAGCCAAAGGTTGAAATACTAAAAGTAACGGAAAAAAGATACCATTCAAACCAATAGGCGACACACCACGTGTAGATAAAAAAAAAATAAAAAAAGGTTAATCGCCTTCCTTGAGTTCATCAGACTATGCGAACGAAAACGGTCTTTTAAGAAAAAGTCTCCTTTGGATAGAGTTTTCGTGTGCTCTCTAGTGACGAAGGACACTTGTTTAAGAGAGGGGTGGGTTCTCGCATGGGAATTCGACATGGAAGAACCCACGTATTAGAGAATGATGCCGATGTTTCGCTTCTCGTGTGTGTGTGTGTGTGTGTGTGTGTGTTTTTTTTTGATCCAATTGGTTTCTTCTTTTTTTTTTTTTTTTTTTTTTTTGTTTGTTACGAAAAAATCAAGTCTGACTGTTCCTGGAAAAAAAACAAGCAAACACTAGACATCCACACAGACCGTTCTGGGGTGATTTTATTTATTTATTATTATTATTATTCAATGTGTGTGTGTATGTGTGTGTGTGCGTGTAAGGGTGCATTTGTATATGTGTATGCGTGTGTGAGTGTGTGTGTATGTGTTTTCTTGTGTGTTGACATTTCTACTTTTTTAAAAGTTGGTCTGTACCGGCCATGAAAGGAAGTATATATATATAAAGACGGATTGCGAGAGAGCCATTTCGTTCCAATTCATCCCATCCTCAACCCATTCCATCGATAGCCTCCTATCATGAAGCCTACTTGCTCTCTACTTATTTCTTCTGCTATTGCCTTGTGTGCATTCACCTCTATGGTCTCGATGAAGCCTCTTCAATCCACCCACGACGCAGCATCCACAGTGCTTGTGCCTACGCCTCACATGATTTTTGACAGGATGGCTACTGATAATAGCAAAGTTCAGTATAAATTGGATATCGCTCCTCAAGAACAAGGTGTAGCCGCTGCGAAAAAGAAGGGAACATTGACAGCAACAAAGACCCATGGAGACACTTTGCCAACCAAAGATATTCATATTGTTCAACTTTATGATGATGATGATGATGATGACGACGACGACGATGATGATGATGATAGTGACGACGACGACGATAGTGACGACAACGATGATAGTGACGACGATAGTGACGACAACGATGATAGTGACGACGATGATGATAGTGATGATGATGATGATAACAGTGATGATGATGATGATGATGATGATGATGATGATGATGATAACGACTCAAAAGATAACGATGAGGGTTGGGAGTCTAGCATTGATGATACGGATGATACGTGGGAGTCTAGTGTAGATGAGACAGATGGCCATGAAGTGGTGGTGACCAAAACGTTGACGAGTTGTCCACCTACAGAGACCATGACGGACGACCATGACCGTACGATTACAAAGACCATCACCTCTTGTCCTGCATCGTCCACGACGACTAGCAGTAAAAGCCATACAAAAACGACGTCGAGCAAACCTGTTCCTACCCATTCGATCAAGAGTTGTTACAAAAAGGCGGCTTTAACACAATATTGGGTTCCTAAAGAAGGCGATAAAGACATGTTGAACGATGGTACAATTGTGACATTAACAGGCTCCAAAAAGAAAAAGTTGGTGACCGATGATGGTAAAATGATTGCCAAGGTGTCCAAAACGACCTATGAGGTGAGAGAGGAATTACTCTTTGCGTTTTGATAAAAATGAATGCTAACCCCGCTCTCTCTTGACTTTAGAAATTTCAAATGGAAGGCACAGGTCTCTTGGAATCAGGTATACTCGTCAATTTAGCTTCCTCCGATGACACGTTTGAAAAAGTAGATCGCAAGGAAGCACCCTATGGTCTTGGTAACACAGACGGCAGCACATTGACACCTTGGATCTCTGTGGCTTCCAACGATTTGAAACACGGTACGATTCTACATATCAAGGAATTAGACGGTGTCGAGTTACCGAATGGTCGCGTTCATAACGGCTGTGTGCGTGTAGATGATGAAGGATGGAGTTTTGGTGGTTGTCAATTGGATTGGTTTGTGCTTCAATTCAGTGCTTATCAGACACTCGTGGATTTGGTGCCTGAAAAAGTCACGGTCACAGCACAAGATTGTGAAATCAAAAATTATGTGACAGAACAAGATAAAAATTGGGCCGTTTTGCATTAACTTTATTCCCATCGTTTTCTTTTATTTTGTATACATACCATATTTTTACCCTTCGTCCCGCCCCTCTTTCTCTTCTTTCCCGTTCCTTACTTTTTTAACCATGTCATTATTTCTCGCTCCCATTGTTTATGTACCCTTTATATTTTTCTTATTAGAACACACACACACTCTTTCTTTTTTTTATTATTAAATAAATCATGATTGTATTTTTATATTTTTGACCGAAAAAAAAAAAAAAAACGCGAGAGAAGGGCAGTCAACTATTTACAAAAAAAAAAAAAAAAAAAAAAAGAATTTAGAAATCGTCTTGTTCAAATTCGGATAAAGGCGATGGAGGTATGTAATTTAAATCATTGGGATCATCTTGGATTTGATAAATAACGGGAGGTAAACCTTCTTCTTCTTCAAGCGCCATGGCGAGTTGATGGGTGGCGGGAACAGTAGCAGCAGCAGTCACGTGTTGATCCAAGAGGGGAGAAGAGGAAGAACAAGTGGTATCAAGAGGTTGGGAGATCAAAGTAGGGGTGACAGTCAGAGGTGGGGTGCCATCCGCTTTTCGCTGGGTTTTTTTGTTCTTTTTCTTTTGTTTTTGCACAGTCGTGGATGCACGCACTGATTTTTTCTTTTTTTTCTTGTTGGACTCCTTGGACTCGGTAGGGGAAGGGGAGGGGGAAGGCGATGAAGATGAAAAAGTGGAACGCATTGGTTTTTTCTTTTTCTTTTTCTTTACTTTGCGATGTGGCCATTCCTGTCGAAAGATGGTATAATGACGTTCGCAACGAGGACATCGTTTCGGACGCCAATCGGTAAAGATGGCACTGGGACTCCATGTCCATGTGGCTAATTCGTTGGTAATGGCAACGTCGACACCGACCTGCTCTGAAATATCCTGTCGACGTAAAGGTCTCTCACAAGCAATGCATACTAATTCTTCTTTTTTACCCTGTTTGTGGTTGTTGTTGTTGTTGGGCTGTCTTGAACGCCGAGAGACGGTGGTTTTGTCTTGATCGTCGTCGTTGTCGTCGTCTGATGCTGAAAAGGACAGTTCTGTACTACTCACAGATGACAGATCCGACACATCATCCAAGAAATCATCCAAAGCATTAAAATCTTCATCGGTTAATTCTTTTTTCACAATCACGGCTGGTGGCGATGTAGAGCAAGAAGACATAAAACTGACACCGGAATCTACATTGTTGGAAGAGAAAGAGGCTGGAGCAGAATCTGCTTTGTTGATGGAAGAGAAAGAAGATGGGGCGGCATCGGCATGGTGAAAAGAGGCGGGGGCGGATGGAGAAGAAGTTTCTTTTTTATCCGTGTTTAAATAGCCTGCATCCATCGCTGCATCCACCAATAAATCCAACATAGAGGGTCTTCGCTGTTCTCGTGGTTGTTGTGGTCGAAGCGTAAGCGCAGGTGTCGGTGTTTTATAATCTTCATCACTACTGCCGCACAAAAAGTCGATACTCATGACTTTGAGACGAGCGGTGGTAGCTGTGGTGGGTGAAATAGGCATGATGGGTTCTTCTGGGATGGATCGCTGTTGTTTTTCAGTGAGAGGACTCGTCATGGTGGTGGTGATGGTGGTGGTGGGTAACAAAGGGGATGAAGAGGAGGGTGGTAAAAGTACGACCTCCTCTGGTTCCTTTTTAATCATGATGGGCACTGTCAAGGGGGATGATGATGATGCCGCTGTCATGGGTATCGATGTCACAGGGTCATGCTTGTTTTCCTCCTCTGCAATCAACTCTTCCAAACTCACATCCTTATGCATTGACAATCTTTTTGTTGCTCTTTGAGGGCTTTGCAAACTTGAAATATAATCTATGACAAAGGTTCGGGATGAGAAAGATGGGTCATGACAAGAACAACGTTTTTTAATGTTGTACCTTCGTAGAGAGCCGATTTCCTTTTCCGCGTGCTTCGTCTTTTGGCGCCCTGGGAAGGATGTTCATCGTCCATGGGTGTATTTTCTTTTGAAAAAGAACTCGTGGAAGAGTCGTCGAAAGAAGCAAAATAACCCATGCCCAAACTATGGGGGAAGGGCAATGAGGGAAGGGTGGGGGGGGGGTCAATTGAAAAAGTGGTATGATATACACACGTGCTTTCTCTCTGGATGTACTTACTCTTCACATGTTTTACATTTACATTCACTATTGTCTTGACCGAAATAATGTTTGCCATAATACACAGTGATTTCTTCACCCAAATGAATATCCTTCAACACTTTAAATGTAATCACATTTTGTCCCATTGCAATAAACTAGGCGGAAAAATGGTGAGTTTCAACATTTTTGTCTTGTCATTTTTTTTTTTTTTTTTTGGCGTGCGTACGTAAAGAGACGGTACCTTACAATTGGAATCACAATCATGATTGGCAAATCGGGCAGGGCCTAAAAACAGACAATTACAATTTTTTCTTGTGGACCACATGACGCTGAAATCTCTATTTCTCATTCTTAATTCGGCATCACTGTCAGGATCCAAACACGCAATCATGCCCGTCAATAATCGCATTTCATCGCCTGTATGCCATTCCTTGGTAGCAATAAGACAAGCTTCGACGCGACGTCCACTCAAGCTACTACTACTGCCGTTGTGATGGTGGTGGCTTTTTTTAGTACTGTCCTGATCTGAGGTACTGCTCGTCGTCATACAATATCGTCTTGTATCCCCAATTTCATATCCAGCATTCGGCATATACCTACATCCATACATACATATATACATACATATGAGTCTATAGTTATTTTGTGCGTTGCACGGCACGCATCAACCCAAAACCTACATGTATAAATATCGCTTCATATGTTGAACAAATTCTTGCTTTTGCTTTGGACTCTTTTGAGCTAAATAATGCCTAAAGTAATCCATTCTAAAGAGAAAAAAACCAACCAAAAAACCCTTTTTTGAGTTTTGTGTCCCTACTTTTCCCACACACACGCCCACACACACACTTATATATTTACTGTAATAACTCGGTGACGGCATCATTGATTTTCCCATTTTCCAATAAATGTTTTTGTACAATGGCCAATATTTTCTGGTTGGGCACACGAGGTCGACGATGATCATGATTCATTTTAATGGTATCAAACCACAAGAATAAATTATCCAAAAACACATCTGTAAAAAGGTCATCATAACGCGACAACACTTTGAAATCCATGGTTCCTGTCCGTGTTTCTGTCTCTTGCACTAGTGAGCATTTCTTGGTCGTGTGCGTAGACGATTTAGTTGTACTTGATGTCGTAGTAGAAATCATGTTTGATCAACATCTTTTCTTGTTGTTGTTGGAAGAAAAAGAAGAAAGGAAAAAAAGAAAAGAAAAGAAAAAATAGTCAAGGGTATAAAAGAAATTAAAAAAAAAGACCCCCCAAGTTTTGACAACAAATAAAAATGTATAATGGAAAGAAAGAAAAAAAAAAAAAAAAAAAAAAAAAAAGAATAGGGCCTTATATCATACGCACATGTGGGTGTTTTATAAAAAAAAAATTTTCCCTCCAAAAAAAAACGAGATTGTCCAATGAAAGAATCTCTTTTATCTATTTATATCAAAAGAAAAGCCCAACACACTCACCCCGCTTCCAACACACCTAAAACAGCTACATGCACCACATTCACCATGGCTGCAACAATAAGGTTCATTACTATGATCAAATCATTTCCTTGCCCCATTTATCAAAAAGGCGAATGACACATTCCTTTCGATTCTTTTTTTATTTTATTTTTCTTTTTGTTTTTTCTTTTTTCTTTTTCTTCTTTTTCACGCCTCTTTAACATATATCACTTATGGCAGGCTTGGCTTCAAGAGCGTTTGATGCACCTGAAACATTACCAGACGGATCCATGTTGCAGGTTGATTCTCCTGAACCTACATTATTAAAAGTAGATACAATTCATCCCAGGTAAAATAAAAAAATATCTTTTAGATCTCTTTGGGAAAAGGCTTTCCGATGTTCTAATGTTTGCATAAAAAAAAAAAAAAAGGTTGGATCGAACTCAGTCTTGGAAAAATGGTCTGGGTAAAACGTCGGAAATCGCTATTTATCCACCCGACAAAGATTATCGCAAAGATTCATTCTTTTGGCGATTTAGCTTGAACGAAATAGATGCGGACTTTAACTTTCCTGTTCTGTTGGGATATGAATATACAACCATTATATTGAATTCAACGATTCATCTCAGTCATCGCGGCGAAGAAGTAGCGCATACTGTCAAACCTTTATTTCCCTATGGCTGGTGCGCAGAATGGTAAGTAAGCAAAGAGCCTTTGGCCCACCCCCCCGTGTTCTTTGTCGCATGACCACGCATGTATTGATGGATATGTATTGCGTAGGATCACTTCTTGTCGAGTGACCCATGCACCGGTGGAAAGCCTTTTATTTCTCATCAAGCGAGATTTAGGTACGGCACAATTTTCTGTAGATAAAATTGGACAAAATGAAAATGGAGAGATTGGACGTAAGCTCTTGTTGGGCTCCTTTGCTATCGTTTATGTGATTGAAGGTCATGTTAAAATCGGTCTCGACGAAAATGGAAGTCAAGGACGACATGATACCTTGTCGGCAGGACAAACTTTATATGTAGAACGTGATGAAGATGCATCCCCCACCAGCATGATTATCAAAGCCTCAGATGAGCAAGGCAACATCCATCACCACGACCCAGGTAAGAACGGAGGAGGGAGTCACGAACAAGTCGTGTAGACAAAGATGAAAGTAATTTTCCCTCTCTCTCTCTCTCTCTCTCTCTCTCTTTTTTTGCAGTAGAAGACGCTACGATTCTAATTATTCAAATCACGGAAACCAAGACCACGGGAGGAGGTGCTTCTACCGTGGCCTCGGAAAAGGGAGTGACACCCACGACCACCACCGCTACCGCCGCTGCAGATCAGCCATCCGGTATCAAAACGACCACGCTACCTTCCACCAAAGACCAAGAGGAACGACAAGAAAATGAAAAAATAGCGCCCAGTAAACTGCGTGATCCACGGCGTAAAGGTTCTTTGGTCGTGTATGATGATCAACCTTTTTGGAACTTGCCAGAAAAAGTCGTGCAACGGATGGCTGAACAAGAAGCCCATGCTTCGGCTTCTGCGATCCCTACCTCTTCCGATGATGTAGGAGGAGAACTCGCATCCACACTCAAACAAACGCAACCCCCCTTACCCCCCTTACCACCAGCACCAGCACCACCAGTACCACCCCCCTCCGCCGCGACGCCACCCCGACCCACGAGGGGTCCTCAGCGTCGTGACAGTCTCGCCATGTTGCGAGGCAAATTAGACGCCATGCAAATCTATGAACCGCCCCACTTTTCCTCTCTCGATCGTGATACCGATGTCCCTCCTCCCATTATACGTGATAAATTGACCGTAAACGATTTCCCTGAAAAAACCATCAGTACGGCTTGGATCAAGTTGGTCAAGCAAGGCTTGAGCGAATGGATCCGTTTGCCCGTCATTGTCTGTCGTGGTACGGATACCGAAAGCCATCCTGTGGTGGGTATCACAGCAGCGGTCCACGGAAACGAATTGAACGGTGTACCTTGCATTCACTGTGTCGTGTCGGAAATTGATGTCAATCATCTCAAGGGCACCGTCGTCGCCGTTCCCTGTGTCAATGTGGCAGGCTATCTCAAGTTTACTCGTGAGTTTGCAGACGGTCGAGACTTGAACCGCTACTTTCCAGGGCGTGAAGACGGGTTTGCAGCTCAGGTCTTTTGTCATCATCTCATGAACAAGGTCATTTCTCAGTTTCATTATTTGATTGATCTGCATACCGCGAGTTTTGGAAGAGTCAATTCCTACTATGTTCGTGCCGATATGAACGATGCCACGGCAGCGAGAATGGCACGTTTGCAACAACCTCAAATCGTTTTGCATAATTCAGGTCAGGATGGTACCTTGCGTTCCGCTTGTTCAGCCAAAGGTATCAAAGCCATCACGGTCGAAATTGGCAATCCTCAACTCTTCCAAAGTCAATATGTGCAGGTAAGGAGCAAAATAGAATATACCCAACGGGAAGAGCCCAACGGCACTGACTTTCTCACTCCCTACTTTGTCATTTTAGTGGTCTTATATGGGGGTGATGCGGATCTTGGATGATTTAAACATGTATTCTTTAAATGAGGCAGCGACCAATGATATGGTCATTCAAGGTCCCCCCAACACCATCCTGTGTTCCAAAGGCTTTTGGGTAAAAAAAAAAAAAACAAAACAAAACATGGTATGGCTAGGTCACTCATGTAGACTCTCTTTTTACTAGATCTATACAAAAACAGGCGGTGTATTAGAAGTGTTTCCGGGCGTCAATACGATTATCAAGAAAGGAGATCTCATTGCACGTATCAAAAATATTTTTGGTAATGTGATTGAAGAATATTATGCTCCCTGTAGCGGTATTGTCATTGGTAGAAGCTCTAATCCGGTAGCCATGTCCGGTGACCGTATTCTTCATTTGGGTGTCATTAAAAAGAAGAGTGAAAGTTTACCCAAAGAAGCCAAAGAAAATTATTGATGATGATGATAAAAGGGTAGGTCTTTTTTATTATTCGCCCTCCCAAAAACGAATATACAAAACAGAGAAAACCGGGTAAAGAAAAAAAAAAAGGATGCAACATGATAAAAATAAAGAATAAAAATATAAACTATTTACAAGAGGGTTCGAACGACATGAGGAGCATAAGCATAAGCTGTCATTTTGGTATTGGCGTAAAGACCATGATGGTTTAAAGGACTACGCAGGTCATGAATAAAGGCAGTTGTTTGATTGTGTTGTTGTTGTTGTTGTAGATGCGGGCATGTTTCTTCATGATAGATGGAAGAAGACGTACTTGACAAGCCAGAATTGGTATCATCCAGAGAAGGCATACTCTGGCCCTTCTTATTCTCCTTGACATCCAAAGGATGGTATTCATCTAAATCAATATGATGTCTTCTTTGTCGTTCATTCGCGAACGTGGCCTTTTTCTTGTCATCTCTTTCCTGGATAAATTCTGCATCATAATCACGCGTTGGATCAATAGGTTCTGGTTCTTGACAAAAATAACCCAATTCTTCAAAAAAGAGATGCACACCATCCATGGGTTGAATGTGATTGTCGCTGTCAATCATACAAACTTCAGGATTCAGCGGTAAAATAGTGGCTAAGTTTTCTTGACATTCAGAGTCATCGAGCCATTGGATATGAGCATTGTCATTGTAGACATGATTCATCACGTCGTCGGCGTCGTCGTCGTTGTCGTAGTTGTTGTCGGACGCTTCGAAAGAATAAGGATATTCTTCTTCTTCTGGTGTTAGACACATGAGCTGTAGTCCACAGATGAAGTTATTATTATTTGTAGTAGTGGTAGTATTCATTTTATCTATAGCGTTGTCTAATGATGAGGGTGGGTATCAAATGTAAGAATAGAGAGAGAGAGAGAGGTCGTTTTCCTTTTTTTGTGGGCTTTTCTTTTTTTAATCAATTTTTTATAAACTGGTTCGTATTGTTGTCAAATAAGAAAGAGTCAATGTTTGCATTGAATGTTTCAACAAGATAATAAAATTGAACAATGAACAAAGGGAGAAAGAAAAAGGAAAAAACAATAAGTATAATATATAAAAAAAATTTCCCCTCCTCGTCGGGAGATTTAGGGAACAGTAGGCTTTTACGACCAATCAAAATAGGCTGCGATGTTTTATTGATAGTTTCTTTTTCAGCGAGAAAATTCTTCACTGCTGACTTTTAAAAATTGAACAATTTGTTTTTTGGGTGTTGAGCAACGATGGATGCAATTAAAAAGTCATTTTTGTACCTGACGTTGGGGGAAGGATGGAAGTGGTGCAGTTCTATAGAAATGAGATAGACAGCCTATGCGCGCCCCTCTTCCCTTTTTACATCACTGCATAAGAAAAAAGGGCTTGGTGGGAAACCATCCTTTTGTCTGATAAGCTACTTTTGGAAACACCTCTATTTTCGAGTAGAAAACAAGTGATTTTCTTTTCAAGCGAAAACACGACTACGCCAGGAAAAAAAAAAAAAAAAGACAAGCCTGCTTATCATCGAAAACATCCAGCCAGCAGGGTGGACATGTGAACACGCATAGGTGGATCAAATTCTTATATATTTCCTGCTTTGGACTACAAAGTCTAGACACAAACACACATGCAACTTGATCTTTTTTTTATTATTATACATTTAATGCATTTCAAATTAATGTGGGAGCTTGTCATGGATCGGATGTCACACACATACGATATCTCGGATGCGTTGTCGATAGTCGTTGCCAAATTGGATGGCATCCAAATACTGATCAATGGAACCATACTCTTTTTTAAGGAAAGCAAGCAAATCACGCATATTCTATACCAAAAAAAAAAAAAATTACTTGGAGTGAGTAAAAGAGAGAGGGGTCACGTGTGCTCTACTTTCTCTTCCCTCCTTCCCGTACCTGAGGGGGCGCTTCAGCAAAATCATCCGATAACCCTGCTTGGCGCACTTCTTCCAACATGCTTTGATAGATGGGTGCCAAGCCTTTTTGTGTTTTTGCATAATCTCGCACAATAATGTCTTCTGGCACACCTGCAATATGCATGATCAAGGCCGACACAAGACCGGTTCTGTCTTTGCCTTGTGTACAATGTATTTCAATAGGATAGTTTTGTGCATCTGTAAACACCATCAACGCTTCACGTATTTCCTGTTTACAGTACGTCGCAAATTCCTTGTACATCTTGTTGACGCCCATTTTCGAGAGCACTTTTTGTCCAATGATAAACGTCGCTTTTTGACGTTGACAGAAAAGCATTAAACAAATAATGTACCTATAAAAGAAGGAATCCCATCAGTTTTTTCTACTGGTGAGCTGTGTGGAGCTTTGTGTTATTCGCGGCGTTACAGTTTCAATGGGAAAGAACAGGCTGCAAAGACGCAATATCTTTGAAAATTCTTTCCTGCAAAATCTACTCTGTATTTCTTTCGAACCAACGTGCCCTGACCTGTGGTTCCGAAGACCTCGGCTTTCTTGGCCGCTGTTGTCTCGTCGGCATTCTCCCCCGCTACAAGAGCACTGGGTGACAACTATTAAAAATAAAAAAAGCACGTCTAAGTCACCAGCAGAGCATACACAATACAAATGACTAATTACATTGTCTAATGCTGTGGTAGGGAAACTTTTATCAATAGGCAGTCCTTCTCGTCCTTCTTGTCTATCACACATTGGAAAACATGAGTTTTTATTGCTTATCCCACGAAAAAGACATGTTTTCAATGTTTTACCCTGTACGTAAATCAAGAATCGTATTGATGCCATGGGCTTGAATGAATCCATCGACATCTTCTTGACTCATGTTGTCTAATGTGGCTGACCGAAACACCATTCCTTCTTTTATATATCTAGAAAATAACCAGCGCATCAGTTTTCTATCGCGCGCTTTCCCCCCCCCTCTCCTTCCATGCCTCCGTTTTTACTTTTTATGCTCTGGATTGTCGGCTGACGAGACGCCCAAGTCTCGAAAGTTCAGTACCCCAAAACTACCCTTTTCTGTATTGTAATAAGAGCGTCCTATGTGAACCTTACGATGCTTGCTGTGACGGGTGCTCGTACTGCTATTGCTGCTGCTGCTGCTTTTAATACTGTCTTTTGACATGATAATCTATGTATGTATGTATGTGTGTGTGTGTATATATAGGCGCGTCTAAATGTCAATGTCTGTGCTTTTTTTGTTTGTATCTGTGGGGGGACGATTAAAAAAAAAAAAAATTACCAAGAAAAAAAAACCAAATGAAATCATTGACAGACTCCTAATGAGGATCCTTCTGAAACCAATATACTCCTCGGAGAAAAAGAATTTCAATCACTTCCAAATGGGAAAGCTTAGTCGATGGGCAAATGACGGACAGATGGACTCCGCATTGACCCTATCCAAACAAAAAAAACCCCCGTTTTCCATGAGTGTATTTGCCCTCTTTAGATTATTTTGGCTTATTCCAAGCCCCTTCCATGGACACTAAATTGATTGTATTTCATGTGCCAACTGAATTTGATAGGCGCATACCTTGGAAACAGAAGGGAAGGGAGAGGAACTGTGGGTAATCACTAGAGTCCATTGCCTGTCAGAAAACCAAAAACAAGGTATCACAAGCTATGTTATGTTGATGTAAAAATAGTAGGACAAGCAGCAACGAAAGCACTGCATTAAAACAAGTACCATCACCGTATAGCAAAGAATCAGCAGGGTGAGAAACACAACATCTCGCCTGGAAAAAGCTATATCCAACCTCGTTGGCATAACATGAATTACATGTATTTAGAAGCACCTTGCTTTTAATGGGCCCCTTTGATTTTTGTGTAAAAAGAATTGCCATATGCCGCCATTTTCAAGTGCCATCGACAAGTGTATCACCCATCTTTGCCCCTATTGGCCATGGAATTTATCCTATGACCATTTGAAAAACAACTTTTGGCAATCCGCCTACAAGCAAAAAACACACTATCTTTTTTGCCATGAAAAAAAAATAAAAATAAAAATAGAGAGATACTTTTAATGTAGAAAAAAAAAAAAAAAAAAAAAAAAAAAAAAGAATAATGTACAAGGTTTATGATTTGGTGCCTTTGTTGCTCGTAGACGACGATGAAGCATTGTCCGATCCAGCGACAATCACTTGTCCAAAATGGTTCAGTAAAACGGCTCGATTCGTGGCCGCTGCTTTGACGCCAGGCATATGTTGACTAATAACATCTGTATGATGTTGTTGAGCAGAGGCATAAACACCTAAACCGTATCGACGCTGTTGCTGTAAAGTGAATAAAAAGGGTTGGATCGGATTGTCCTCTGTTGTCGTACCAGAAGTCGTGGAGGTATTGGTTTCTTTGTTGGAGGACCGATTTTGGTTTTGGACAGACTGTCCTTGCTGTTGCTGTTGCTGTTGTTGTTGTTGTTCTTGTTGTTGCCAAATGGTATAAAAATCATTGGCTGCTGCATCATTTTGACTCGCACTAGCATTGTTTGATTGTTCTTGTTCATGTTGTTGTTGTTGTTGTTGCTGCTGCTGCTGCTGTAGTTGTTGTTGCTGTGTTTCCGTTGATTGACGCATAAACGAAGCATTGGCCGAGGAATTCACTTGCAACTGTTGTTCAAAATCATTGCCTAAAGGCGTCTTGGACCAAACAGTAGAATAGATATCCATTGTCGACGTAGCCAAGCTCGTGGCCTCGAGATGGCTGTCTTTTGCCGTTGGTTGCTGCTGATGCTGCTGTTGCTGTTGTTGTTGCTGCTGTTGTTGCTGTTGTTGCTGTGGATGGATCGTGTGGGTTCTATGCTGATGGAGAGGATAATCAATGTAAGGAGATGACGTGGCCGTTGTGATATTCGAAGGGGTGCTGGAGGAGAAAATGGACGGAGGATGCATGGCCAAAGTAGACGTGACAGCAGGTGTGGAAGAGCTTGTGCTTAGCGCAGGTGAAGCGAGACCAAAGGGCACCATCGGATGATGCTGTGGAGAAAAAGTGTGGGGCGAGGGTTTGGGTATAATGGGCGACAAGACATGTGTTCTAACATTGTCGTATCGACTTTGACGATGGTCCGCATCCGCTAACGTTCGTTCGATCAGAGCGCTAAACTCTTGTATGCCATCGATCGCTCGGTACGGAAGGATCGTCTTGAGCGATCGGAAAGAACGTTGAAACATAAATCGCGCATGACGAGCCACGTGCAGTTTGTCATTCGCACAATCCACCATGTGCACACGGATAGCGAGCATGATGGCTTTTGCAACCAGCTGAAAAGAGAATATAAAATTGGGTTGTTCCGACATGGCACACGTCAGTTGCGTTAGATTAGTCGCGGCCGTTTCACAACGCTTTCGATTGACGTTGGCAGAAGAGGAGGATGACATGGACAGGTACGCGATCGGTTGCAGTAGCGATAATTCGACGCAATTATAAATTAAATGAAGATGCGCCACAGAGCCGTTCGGTGGAGGATGGGTGGGTATGGACTCTAGGCTCGTTTCCGTCGGTGTCCACTGCAGCATCTGAGGTAAATTCCTGAGCCAAGCAGAAAGCTGATGATCCAAATGTAAAACCGCCTGCTCGTCCTCTTCCGTCATCGGTGGCTGTCCACCCTGGTGGACGGACCTCAGTTGAAGTACTTGCTCACACAGCTGCATTAATTTGATATGTTCAAAAAAGCTAGCATTGACTTCATAATCGCCCGCTTCATCTGTCCCTAGAATCCCTGGATAGTCAATGTCGACGTCTCGAGACAACAGTAGCATCGGCTTTTTGAACATCAAACTTTGCACTTTATCCAGGCAATAACACGCCCAATACACGCGCTTCCGTAACTCAATATCATCCGGTGTCATATTCAAAGACTGGTGGCTGCTGACAATTCTTTTGTTCAATTGAAGATCGCAGCACATGCGACAGGCCATGTCCAAATAGACCGATCCTTTGTAATGTGTGCTGGCATGATAACGACCTGATTCAAAAACAGAAAGTAAGCATAAAGCAATAATGCAAGTGAGCGTCGGTGGATGCGATTGAATAAAGTATTCGTGAAATAGCAACTGCTGCGCTTTATCAAAGTAGTTGTTAGCTTCGTTCTTATCTTCATTCGAGTAATGGGCTGCGTTGCAGTAAATGCTGTATAAAAGTAATTGACTGATCAAATGGTTGTTTTCTCGATTTTTCAACGAACGGTAAAAAATCGTCTTGGGAAGCATAGGAAAGATAACATAGTGATGGCGAAAGAACAGATTTAAAAGATGAGAATGGATATCGAGCGATGCAGCAGCAGCAACAGTACTAGTGTAGGATGGCTGTTGCTGCAGTGGTTGATCAGGTGTGTGTAGGTCAAGAAACAAAGCATTCACGTCCACAAACCAACGACCTTCTTTGCCTTCGCCTGGCCAGAAGGTACTTAGTCTATCCAACCCTTCAAAAATCATCCTAAACTGTTCTTGATCTTTGAGAATCATTTCCGTCTTCAGGTTCTGAGTCATAGAGACTTCAGCTCTCAATCTTTTCTGTCCCCTTTGTTGTCCTGAAGATGATGTTTGCATGTCACTGCTATGGGTGGTATATTGAACAGTTTGAGATGCAGCATCGGATGTCTGTTGTTGTTGTTGTTGTTGTTGGCTGTTGTCAAAGAGAGAGCCATCTTTTGAGAAAGAGCAAGGCCTTTTCCTGGCTAAACACACATTTGAATGATAAGTGTTAGCCTATCTCGAGTCGTTCTCCAACCACGGGTGAACGAGAATTACCTTTGCACTGCATACACGGCTGTAGACCATCACACTAAAACACACACACACACACACACACACACACAAGAAAACAAGGTCAACAGTTGTAGCCAACAAAAAACATGCTTCTGCAAAATCACCTTTATTTTCTTCACTCTACAGGTATAACAAGCTCTTGACACTTTTAACCGCTTTTCTCTTGGTGGTTGCACCATGGGCTCATTAACGTGAAATGTGTTCATCTTTCTTTTTCGTCAATTAACCAAAAAAAGCGTTGTTTCCGTTCAACTTGTGAATACAGCAGGGAAGTAATAGCAATAGTTTACAAATTAAAATTCTTATAGAAAGAAAGAAAGAACGGACTGTAATAAAGAAAGGCCTCTCATTCTCTGCTTTTTTCTTTTTTTTTTGGGTATTGCAAGACACATGGAATTAATTTTTTTTTCTGTCTAAAAAAAAAAAAGGGTCCATGTCTCTTAATGGATATGATTCGTTTATGTAAGCTCCGAAGCATTAAAGTACCGCTTCCCGCGGTAGAACCTTATGCTATTTCCGTTTGCATTACTGTACCTTGGTGATGAACTAGCTAATATCCTAAAAAAGCGTCTATTCGACAAAAACAACCAAAAAGAAAAAGATGGTTCAACACTAGCGTCATCGTCTCTCACAGCGAAAATGGGGGAGCTCAAAGAGTAGCTATAGGGTACTCAACTTGAAAGATGTTATTATTTGAAGTCAGTCAGGTCTACCGCCATTTTTGCCCGCCAATAAAGGATCGTTTGCTCAAATAAAGGCTAGCTGGTATGTTGTGGGAATGATCATAAGAGAAAAAAGTTCAAACAATATTACTGTCATTCTTACTGTGTTTTAAATAATGTATAGTTCTTTTTCTTCCCTATGAAAAAAAAAGCATATCACTCCATTTGGGAAACTTTTCTTTCTTCCGTTCCGTGACACTTCGAGGGCGCCCTGACAATGGACCCTTAAATCTGCCAATCCCTGCAGATTACATTGTCATTGGATGCTTCCGTTTCAGGGTTCTCCTTTGCAGGCACCGTTGATTGGGCGGGCTTGATTTTTCCATTCTTTCATTTAAAAAGAGTATCACTGTTATTGAATGTCTATAACGTACAATGATGTTTCTACATCAATAAAGTGACCAAACTACTTTCTAATGTTTCAAGACTAGCATTGAAATTTACGCCTGCTTCATTATCCTGTGGAGTTTCGTGATTTCCTCATTGCTAATAGAATAGTCTCGGTTATTCGATCGTCGTACTTTTTTTACGCTTATTCGTGTCATTGGAAAGATGGAGTAACTACTTGCCCCCCTCTTTTACTCAAGATATTTATCAATAGACGTTGACTTGTAGAACTCTTTTCTTTTTGTTTACAATTCATAGGTTCGAATGGCACTATGTCACAGGCTTGGATAGTTCTTGCTGTAGCTTCTTTACCACCATGGTAGCACAGGGTTAGTTCTTCTGGCCTCAGGCTTCTTTCTTCTTTGACAAGTCTCACAACATTGGAGAATTTCTCTCACTTTCTTGATCAAGCCTCGTGCGTAGAACCTTGACTTAATTTTGTACCATGTGTTGTTAATTACAGTATGACCTTCTTCATATACTTTTCTACTTATTTCATCTATATTGCCTTGATGGAGAATTTCTAATGATTCTGTTTGTCGTTCTGTTGGTTTTCTGTAAAGTCTTTTATTGAAAACTAGGTAAGCATCTGCCATTGAGTCTCATTTGGTTTTCACTGCCGCTGGCAGTCTGGAGGGTATGTCTTCTTTGTTATCAATTGTACTATAGTTATGTATTCTGCGTAATCCATGGTTCATAAATGTGTCAAGGTAGTGAGATATTATGTTAGTTAAAAATTTCTTTTTTTTTTCTGGAGTTACGGCATGACGATGCATCCAGGGCATCTTTTTGAAGTTATAATTTCGCTTCAAAGCTTTCAAATGATTGTCGACAGTAAGGTTGCAAGGGGTTATTTTCAGGTCTTACTTCATATCACTGTGCCGATCTTTTTTTTAGAAGCAATAGGCATGCCTATTGTCCATCTTTCATACAGGAGACTATTGAAAAAACCATTGAGGCATTAGAAGAAAAGTTGTTAACCGACAGCAAAAAAAGTTGGCCATCTCGAAACGGAGCGGCAGGTATTCAAAGCTAAGACGTAATGTAAATCATAGGCTCTTGCATTCCCTTGCAGCAAGTCAATGAAACACAGGATAACTCCTCATTTGCTCTCATGCTACTCTTTGTCGCAAACAACATATTAAATGGTCAGGTATTTATAACATTAGCTATTCTCATCATTCCTTCCTTTGTTGTGCTCTTTCTTTCCTTATACTCCAGTATACGGCTCTTTTTACCCCTTTTATGAAAACTGCTTACATACTATTCTTCTGTGTTTCGGTGCTTGTCAATGGCGTATTCCTTTGGGACATTGATAAGACTGACCCGCAATGCCAGGGAAGAATAACTGTTCCTGGAATAGTCAACGTTCAACAGAGTTCATTCTTTAATGGTGGACGAAGGGTCGATAACCTATCGCAAGTTTGCCAATGCCGGTTGGCAGCATCTGGTAGTATTTTGCCACCAAAAGTAAATTCCATTTCTTGTATTGCTAAGGATGGTAAAAAGTATCGGTATGACGGTGGCAGAATGATGGTTGAATCGAAATATTAGACGAATATTTGATCACAAGGCATTATCAGAGATCTTTCAACACTCATACTCTTTTATCGCAACATTATTAACTTAAGATTAATCAATATCCTTCGTTGCAATTCTATATTAACCTAAAATTGAATAAAACAGATAATATTATGTTCTGGATCGGAATATGGACCTACGGAAAAGTTGGGATGGTTAGATGAATTCATTTTCTTCTTAAAGCTACACATTGAAATGCGTTCTATTTTTGGGAAACAGAAAAGAAATTCGCTGATAAGCAAAATGAGAAATGTTAGCATTGAGTCTGTAACGAAATGTAGGAGCTCGCCGCCGTAGTCTTTCTATTATCTGCAATCATCTATCTGCATTTGCTTACAGCAAAAGTAGCAAATGAATTTGATTCGCAAATCTAGGTCCCCACGCATTAAAAAAAGTAGACATCAAGCCGCCATTATACGATGTACATTATGAATATTTGAAAGAAGCAAGTTGGATAAGTTATTCATTTGAGTGCTCTTGAGCTATTTTATTTCTTTTCCTCAGGTTATAAGGTCACTATCAGCATTCCAAGTTAACTTTTTTGTCGTATTCAGTCCATTTCTATATCGTAATTTATCTTAAACAAGTACTATATTTTAACCAAACCTGTAGTTGTTACTATTTCAATGCTCGTGTGCCATCTTTTAGAAAGAGAAATCAACTTATTGGAGCTTGTAAAAAGGTATAAAGTCGGGTTATCACCTAAGTCTGACGCATACCTTTTTGAGATTTGACAGTGAAGATTAGGCTACAGTAGTCTCCAAATAGTGCCTTTAGAAAGAGCGTTGGAAATTATATTTAGATCAAATCTTTACAAAATTATAGGCTATTTTTCTCCTCGATAAAAGATGGTTGAAAATTACGCCATAATCGATCTTTCTTGTATACACAAAAGCTCAACTCACAATCTTATAGATTGATCTTCACATATTTATGAGAAACGAAAGCTGATATACTGCAAAGATATTGCTACATTGCCAAAAAAGTTTATCAACGAATGGCACACGCGTAAATGAGCTGTATATGTAGAATACCCAAGTTTCTTATAGCCAATAGACTACTATCTTTAGGTTCCTCTCTCCTATTACAATATAAGCAAATTTGAAGCTCCTAATTTAGCTCCCATCGTCCTTTTTCCACAACAACAAAAGAATTTTAATCGTTCAAAAAGTCTTAAAAGAGGCAGCATGACGAGAATGGCAGTTGAAGAAAAGCCCAGCAACGAGAGTAGATTCAATTCCTGTGTACAAGGAGAAAAAGGGAAATAAAAAGAGAGCTCCTTTGATTAACGATACATTCTTGTTGTCCCCACAAACAGATTTTACTACTACGACAACTCGCCCATTTGTTCGCTCTACATCGACTACTGGGGCCGATATTGGGGAATTACAGCAGAACATCAGTCTCGCCGAAAATGAACTAAACAAATTAAAGCTCGAGTTAGATCAAACACGAAAGCAGGCGAAACAAGCTGAAGCGAATGCGCAAGAAAGTGGTCGCACCAACCGCTCATTGAAAACCGAACTACAAACGCTCACTGACATGAGCAATCGAAAAGACAGACAAGCTGAAAACTCAAAAGCAACCGCTTTTTTCTTCGAGGGACAAGTGAAAAAATATATGGATGAAATCGAAACGGCTCGCCAAGGCATGAGCCATCTCAAAGTTCTCGATGAGCAGCTTCAACAAGCAAAAATTGAACAGGGTGACCTTGAGAAGCAGCTTACACAGGATTGCATAAGAACAAAAGAGCAGCTAAAGGCCATGCAAGAAGCGCATAACAAAACGAAGGAAGAAATAAAGTCAAAAATAAACGAAGCTTATGCAGAGCTGGAGAAAGCATCGTTGGAAACGATGCGACTGCAGGAAGAACTACAGCAGCAATTAGAAGCCGAAATGTTGCAAGGTGCTGATTTTCAAACGCTAGAAAAGGAGTACCGCCTATTAGAACAGAAACAAATGGACAGTGTAAAAGCGGTCCATGATGAGGTCAGCCATTTGTGCAGAAAGATTGAACAATCAGAAACGTCGATAACGTCGCATGAAGAAAGCATGATTATGGTAAAAGAAGAAATGGATCGAATCGTAAGACGTTTGCGGGCTATTGATCAATTAGACACAGCAACAGCGACAATGGATACCACCAATGCTTTTGCTCCAGCAGACAGTAACGGTACAAAGACAGGCACTGAATAACGCAATTACTTTTTCCATAACAGATACATCTTTGTTTCATTTGCTTATGTAAACAATATACCTTTTCCTCAAAAAATAAAGCCTCTTTTGCATAGCGATTACTGTCATTCATGATTTGTCTCAGCCTACAAGGGTAGGCTACCGAAAGGGTATTCTTTTGAGATGTTTACTTAGAGCAGGGCACTTACGTTCGATTTGGTTGCTCCTGAGAAGTGGCATTCTCTTTGTTCATCGTTTGAAAGTCAGCTTCAAGCGCCTTTTCCTCTTCCTCATGTATCTCTGGTTTTATGTCTTTTTAACACTGACTTTTTTGAAATGAAGCTTCCTGTGTCTTTCCGACGCTCTCCATTACAATTTAACTAACAAAATATGGTCAAAGGTAATCAAAAATTGCAGCTATTTCAAAAATGACTTAAACCGCTCTTGTACTGTTTGGTGAAATATTGATATAACTTTGAATTAGTATTGATATTGGGTGCTGGGTATGGCACTCGTTTACAACGTGACCTTCAATTGTCCGCCGAATACAGGCATTTATTAGGGGTGCCTAAAGCATTATTACCTCTAGGTGGTCGCGATGCCCTCATTACACATTGGCTTGAGCTTTTTGAAGCTCACGGATTAAAACAAGCAAAAGATATTTTTGTAATAACCAATGAAGCCTGTTATGACTCAATCAAGCAATGGGCAACGCGACATTCCGTTCCTTTAGATCATATCGTCAGTGACGGCACAACATCAAACGAGAATAGACTAGGTGCTGTGCCTGATATCATGTTTGCTGTCAAACATTTTCATTTACTGCAAAATGATGTGCTGGTTGTGGGAGGCGATACTTTGTTTTTGCATGATTTCAGCCTCTCTCACTTTTTGGACACCTTTGAGGAAAAAAATAAAACCAGCAACGGCCGACCACTCTGTTTAGTCACCACCTATGAAGTCAGCGATGCCGATGTACATAAATTTGGTATTGTTGGGACGGATGAAAAGGGTGCAATCAGCAGTTTCCTTGAAAAGCCAGATCCATCTTCTACTACAAACCGCTCTGCATGTCCCTGCTTTTACTTATTCCATAGACAAGCTTTACCTATCATAGACGAGTTCATCCAACAATGTCAAAAAAGCAATGCACCTAAGGAGGCTTACGATGCCACTGGAAAGTGTTTAGCTTATTTATATCCTCGTTTCCCTATACAAACAATGCCGATCTCTGGTCGTATTGATGTGGGTGGTTTACAATCTTATATAGACGCAAATAGATATTTTGATTCGTTGTAACCATCAGTATATTGAAGAAATAAATTAACAAATGGCATTTAAATTGCTGTATTGATTAGAGTATGCAACAAAAGGTATTACAGTGTTTTAACGTCGTTGCAATATTTATTGAGCAATCTGCATTTTAATGTAAAAAATCTACAATTTTATAGGAATAGTTTGCGTATAACTTTAGACGGATTGAATCACCAGTTCATAAGACCGGGCTCTTTCTGTAAGTATTTTTAGCAGAGTGTTTCTGCTACCTACTCCAATCCAGGCAATCATGAAGCATAATTCTCTCATACGCTTTTTGAATTTGAAGCGGTAATCCATCTCCCATCTGCAGCGAACTGCGTTAAATATTGCTTTTGATCCTTGATCAGTGTTGTGTCCAACATCAGGTTACGCGTAGATTATTACATAATGCTAAAATAAGAGACTGCAGGTCCTTATAATGATTGGTATAATCTTAAGTGTTAGCTTTGTCAGAACAATTCTTATCGATCCAGAAGAACATTTCATCTGTATATACATCCGAGACAACATCATATGAGTAATTGGCTTGATTTAGAAATAAGATAATATAGTATTTGAGTTTATTACAAATTAGATAACTTTATTTTGCAGATCAAACAATATACATATATCTTATCTATTCAAGCTATTATCTAACTCGTTGATCCACTACTTTAACTCTTTACAGTCTGACAAGATTCATAAGGCTGAAACGTAGACATCGGCAGAATTAAGGATTAGTTTATCCTGTCCGTCACACTAGTTATAATGAAACTGCTGAAGTACGGGTTAAAGGAACCTTTAGTTAGATCAACCCACTTACCTCCTGTTACCGATCCAATCGGTCAAGGCACCGCTATAGCATGATGAACCGTGCTGTAACAATTGGGTATGTCTTTTCTTCTATCATTAGGTCATCTTCTGTTCAAGGGTCCCGATAGAAAAAGTTTTTTACAATATCCACAAATATAAATAGAAGTACTTTTTTCCTACATGGTTCTTGTCTTCATTCTTTATCTGAATATTCCATTAATAAAAGAAGATAACTTAATCTTCACATATTTCCTTTTTGTTTTCTTTCTATTGTGATTTAATTCTACCTTATACAACACATTGGGACTGTTGAATAACAATAGCATGCATAACCTGATGTAGTTTGAATCCTACCAACTCCAGTATCAATAGGAACACCATTAGCTAACCCAAATGAAATTACATTTTGGTTTTTGAATACAGTAATAGTAACAACTATCTATACCCATTATTTCAGAAGCTACAAATCTTCCAGGATTAGAAACATGGTCCATATTTCTATAAGAACCATTAGAATCATAACGAAGAGCTGGTAAATCTGTAGCTGTTGTTGTTACTGTATTTGTAGTCGTGGAAATTATTGGAATAGTTGTAGTAGAATGGCGAACATTTTTATTTTTTTATTTTTTAATATTTTTAAATAAGTTAATGAATAATATTTGCAACTAATTTGGAACTGTATATAACCATGTTAGAGCTTGTTGAAAATCACCATAACCATTAACACACCCTGTTGCAAGATTATCAGGTAAGGTTGCAAAACAAAAACATACATAACCACCGGCAACATTAAGAGTGGGACTTGACATAGTTACATTATTACTTAATGCAAAATACCATGGATACGTGTTTGGGAAATTACTAGATCCCAAACAATCATAATAACATTCATTAGGTGTTATCACTACATTGTTTCTAAGATTTAAAATTCTAGCAAATGTTTTGGGCCCTTGAGCGTCTGAACTATAACAAGTACCACTATTTTGATTATAACGTGGGACAGGGAGAGATGTTTCAATGGCTGTTGTGGTTACTGTTGTTGATGTAATTATTGTAGTAGTATCTGTTGTAGTAGTAGGTACTATTTCTGTGGTGGTTGTAGGAATGACCACTTCCGATGTAGTGGTAATAGGGACTACTTGCGTAGTGGTAGTAGGTACTATTTCTGTGGTGGTGGTAGGTATTATTTCTGTGGTGGTTGTAGGTACTATTTCTGTGGTGGTTGTAGGAATGACCACTTCTGATGTAGTGGTAATAGGAACTACTTGCGTAGTGGTGGTAGGTACTATTTCTGTGGTGGTAGTAGGAATGACCACTTCCGATGTAGTGGTAATAGGGACTACTTGCGTAGTGATGGTAGGTACTATTTCTGTGGTGGTAGTAGGAATGACCACTTCAAATGTAGTGGTAATAGGGACTACTTGCGTAGTGGTGGTAGGTACTATTTCTGTGGTGGTGGTAGGTACTATTTCTGTGGTGGTGGTAGGTACTATTTCTGTGGTGGTAGTAGGAATGACCACTTCCGATGTAGTGGTAATAGGGACTACTTGCGTAGTGGTAGTAGGAATGAAAACTTCCGATGTGGTGGTAATAGGGACTACTTGCGTAGTAGTAGCAGTAGAGGTAGTTGTCAATGTATTGGTACAATCATTGGCATTATGATCTGGGTGGGGATTACATCCTTGGAAGGCATCGCAGGTGCCGCCAATAGCGTGGTAATCGTGGATTTCAACACCGGCACCCAAGTTGAACCAAGTATAGTCCCTACCTACGACGGTACCAGCAAAGTTACCTGTAGAACCATCAATAATGTGGGCTACAAATAGAAGAGAGAATGGAGTTATTAGGCTTTTTTTAATTTTTTCTTATTTTATACATGTCTCTTGCAGAAGATTGGCTTACCTTCAGGGGCCATGGTCAAACCACCCAACTGAGAAGTAGTGGCACGGTAAACGGTGATTTCACCATCACGCAGGTAGATGCCTCGGTCGTCAACAGGGTAAATGTTCCAAACAACTTGACAAGGATTGAGACTATCAAGAGGGTTATTGGTTCGAAGGGTGAGGGTGCCACGATTGATGACAGGAATCTATGTATTGTGGAAAAGGAGGCGTTAAAAGAGGCATATGGACGAATGGCATCAAATGATCAACAGTGTTCTTTTACTTACATTAAAAACATATGTCTTATTGGGATCAATAGGTAGGAAACCGTTCCAATTACCTGCGCCTAAAAGAATATTGGAAGGGTCTGATTCCGTATTGGGGTCAGGACTACATTGCATCCCCCCACATTGGCCAAAAGTGATAACCTCGTAGTCAGGATCGGATCTGAATTGAGTAAATGCACCGTTAGGTTCGATGATAGCAGTAGGATCCATATAAGCATAGCCTTCATTGTTATCTAGGGCGGCTTCTCGAACGGCAAAGAAATCGAAATCGCCGGTGCCAAGTTGGTTAGTCACTTGAAAGCCGGCTTCTGACTCTCTAATTTGGCCCAGGGTGCCACCACCGGCGATCAAAGCGTTACCGTGGACTTGTGTATCGGAAGTAATGGCAGTTCCCCCAACAACAAGACCCATAGAACCGATGGAGGAAGGATTGTCATCACAGTTAGAGCCGTTGTTGGCGTTAACAACAGAATTGGGAGCAGTAAAATTGCCACCAACAGCGAGAGGGCCCATGATATCAGAACCACCACCCGTTTCGAAATTACCAAAGAAGATGGCATTGAAATGGCTGAACTGTAGTAGACATTATGTTAATAGATGAAATGGCATTTCATGACAAATAGGATAATCTTTTTTCTTTTTCCTTCAATACTTACAGCATCGTTATTTAATCCATAACCAGTACATGTACCAGGAGGTTGAGGTACGGGAGGAGGAGGGAAAGGACGGTTACCAGGATCAA